GGGGGGGGGGGGGGGGGAGGGCTTCTCCTGATACTTTGGCCTGAGCCAGGGCGAGCAGTATGCCAATAGCTTGAGATGTAAGGGATGTGGGGCTAGGAGGTCAAAAGAACTGAGGTTTAAAGGACGGTAACTCTAGATCACACCTCACTTCCATTTCAGCAAGGCTTTATTGCACTTGATTAAATCAAGGTGCTGTGTGGAATGCCAGTAGGAGGTCAGGGTAGCTTGCTGTTCATTGAGGCTGGTACATAAAGATAGCAGTTGATAAGACTTAAAATTAGCACAATTTTGATTTGAATGAAGGGACATTCACTAAACTTTCTACTACATACCAGGTATTGTGTTAGAATGTGGAAAAACAGTTGTAATTAAAACAGGTGAAGCTCCTGCCCTTCTGGGATTTACAGCTAAGTGGCAGATATGGCAGCTGAAAGTTTATTTAGCTTTTAAATTGATGAATGTTACCTTTATCCGCAGTTTTTTCTGGTTTTTATGTATTTTTTTTAACTGACAATTATACATTTTTATTAAAGAACATTTAGAAAATAGGAGTTACTAGAAGAAAAAAATTCAGTTTTAGTGCAGTGGTTTATTTTGCACTATTACTTATTTTAAGAAAAGATAAAATCTTATAATAGGCATTTTCCATAACAAGCTCTTTCCAGGGCTCAGGGAGAGGCTCTTGAAGTATTTTAACAGTCTGGTTAGTAAAAATCAGAACAGCTAATGCTTTTTCATGTCCCTGATATATTTGCATAAGAAAGGTACCCACTTAATTTTGTAGCTTAAACATCTGCCAGTCCTGCGGTTGTTATGGCTTTGCCTCCCTCACTGGACCTTAGACTTGGGAGGAATAAGTATCTGAGAGATAGACACTGCTTTTCCCTGGTTCTCCAGAATAGAATCTGTGCTCACTGGGGTAGGGGTAGACTAGGTGAGGTCCACACACCCGTGCTGATGACGGTTGAATGTCTGGGAAATATGGCATCTAAATGGAATCAATCGTTAAATGCTCAAAAGTATTTATACTCCACTTTTTTATTTGATATTTTGGTAGTGTGGCATGGAGGCAGGCGTGAGGTTTGGTGGTATGGAGGGGAAGAAGGCGTTCATGTATAAGCACCTGGAGATGGATGAGGTTTTCCTGTCCATCATTAATATTTCTGGTGAAGAAAATGTTGGAAGCATGTGCTATGCTTCCAGCATATGCTTCTATTCAAGAGGGAGAAGGCGCTAAAATTTTGTATATGTAATAATAGTAATATTGACAGTTAAGACATAATTGTTGCTGACTTTCCATTTAGCTTAAAAAAAGAAATCCTTGTGAAAGCTATATTTAAAATCATGAGATTATACATGTGGATTTAATACTTTATCAAGGGAAATACTGAAACTCAGGTTTTGACTCCCAGTTTGATAATTGAACAGGTATTGTTATGTTAGACCAAGATGGAAAACAGGTACTTGTGTTGTGCCCAACTCTGCCATTGGAATACATGTAAATGAAGGGCCTGGAAAGGGTTAAGAAGGGGACTTTTACATTTATAATTTATTTTCTTTAGAAAACAATCTGAAGCAAAAATGCCAAAATACTAGCATTTCTTGACTCCGGGTGGCAGATGCTTGACTTACAGATTATTCTCTGTACTTTTCTATATTTTGAAACTTTTTTCCAACTAGAAAAACTGTCAAAAACCTTGTATAAATATGAATATTAGCCTGCATCCAAGCCTTTATTAATAAAAAACAAAAAAATCATTTTAAAGAAAAAGAATTGGGTTATACAGTGAACTATGCAGTGTTGGTTCTTTTATTATTACGGCCACACTAATCTGATTTTTAATCAGTGCTTCTTTACTTTTTTTAAACCTGTGTGAGTCTACATATGCCCATCTGTGACATTTACCCTTGCGGAGGTGGGGAAATAGAAAAATTGTGTAGTCAGGAAAAATCAGGAGGTTCTGAGGAGCCTCCCCCATGACTGATGCAGATGTTTAACAAGATGTAAGTTGTACTTTCTCTAAACCAGGTTTTTTTTTTTTTTTTTGGCATCATTCTATATAGGGCACCAGAACTAGCACCTCTGAAAAGTAAAATGATCTACGCAAGCTCCAAGGATGCAATCAAAAAGAAATTTCAAGGTATGGGCTAGGTTTACCTCCAGATATTTAGAGGTATACTGAACCCCCGGAATGGGGACCGCACCTTTCCTAAGAAGCACCTCATTTTCTTTGGAGAGCTTTGGGCACAAAGAAGGGAGAAGCACTGCTTGTTTTGAGAAAGAAAAACAACAGAAGGTTGACCCAGCTCTCCGTGTGTCTTCTTCCTTGTGCTGGTCACTCTGGGTCTGCACGGCCCATGTTAATAACTTTGTTTCCTCCACATTTTCTGTGTGTCACTTGTTGTTCAGGCTAGTTTTAAACTAGTTTGGGGTGCTGCCAAGTTTCTCATGTCTCAAGTGGAGAGTTAGTTTACATTGGTTGTAACTTAATAAATTTGCTATTGTCTTTGAATGCAGCTGATATAATGAAGTTGCAAAAAGGAAATGTTCATAAATGGGAAAGAGTGCTTTTATTGCTAGCTTTACTGTTGAATGGTATGATTTTAGGTAATTGATTCATCTATGTCCAAAGGAAAGTGTACTGATTCCTAGAGCTGGCCAGTTATATTTGATTTGCCACTGGGTGATTGGGATCCTGATGAGATGGTCTGGCCAGACTCCCACCAGGAAGAAATGTTGGTATGATGGAAAGAAAGGGCATGGGGCAAGTGCCCAGAGGCCTGCACTGAGAGCTAAGCTTGTCATCTAACTGCTCTGTGACCTTGGCCAAAACTGCTTAACCTTTGTGGGCCTTGATTCTCTCGGCTGTAGAATGGGAGGCTTGGTCTGGATCATATGTGAGCTTTATCTAAGAGTTTGCATTGCCACCGTCCTGCCATGGCTGTTTCTAAACAGCTGAGTGAGCCAAGGTCACAAGGGCTTGACCTAATGCTTTTGTTTTGTTTAGTTTTGTTTTACTCTGACTGGTTTTTATATTCTTGTAGTAGGACAGGTTTGCCCTAGCTTGGTTTACTTAGTCAGGAAAACAGACCTCTTGCTTCCTTTTCTGAGCCCTGTTGTGGGGTAGTTCATCTCCTTGTCAGGTCTTTATACATTTGGGTGGATGTTGGGGCATCCCCCAGAAGCATGTTCACCAGCCTATCAACTGATGTTTTAAAATGACTCCTTAGGCCGGCCCGGTGGCGCACTGCTACAGTGCGCCACTTGGAAGCGCGGCAGCGCTCCCGCCGAGGGTTCGGATCCCACATACAGACCAGTTCCCACTCACTGGCTGAGCGAGGTGCGGGCGCAACACCGAGGGTTGCGATCCCATTGCCAGTCCCGGTCCGGTACGGGCGCGACACTGAGGGTTGCGATCCGTTGCCGGTCACGAAAAAAGACAAAAAGAAAAAAAAAAAATCATTGTGACTCTGGTGTCGGAACAGCTTCTGGGGAGACACTATAAAGAAGGGAGAGAGGCCGGCTGAGACCAGGGCACAAAGGGGGCCTGATCTGGGGGGTTCTGTAACATGTGACTAGTGGAAACACAACCACACATATCCAGTGGGTTCGTTTGCTGCCTCGTAGCCAGGCAGTTTATAAATAAATAAAATCTAAATGCACCATTTGGATACTAGAACAGTAAGAAAGAGTACCCTTCTAGTCACCAACCTATGAGAATTTTGGTGAATTTCCCTTCAGTATTTCCCTACAGCACATTTGTATCATAACTGTGATCACCCTGTACATCTTCTTTTGTCCTGCTTTCCACTGAAAGCACTTCCCAGGTCTCACTGTACAGGCACGACACTGAGGGTTGCGATCCGTTGCCGGACACAAAAAAAGACAAAAAGGAAAAAAATATAAATAAATAAATAAATAAAATGACTCCTTAGATTGAGCACGTCCACAGTGCAGTCAACAAAGATTCAGTGGATTCCTCATCATCCTTATTCTGCATTACCTTTTAGCAAAGAGAACTGCTATATAGACTTGATTTGATAGTGTTAAATGACAGTCACCTTGTTGCCTTTTTTCTAGTGAAACCATCACTGGCTTTCTCATATCAGTACTAAGTGGTCCAAAAGTTGACCTGCTGTGCTTTTAGCATCTTAAAATGATGGAGTAGCAGTGCAGCTATTTAAAGGATAGCAGTTATTTACAGAGAAGCTACTGTACACAATCCCATAATTGAGTTTATTCTGCAGTTCAGTGATGTAATTTTTCTAAGAAAGCAATCAGTAGCACAATTTATATAGTTTTCATTGTGATAGATTTCTTGAGTGTGTAATGCCACTGGAGAGCTAGCTGTTTCCTATAGCAGAAGTAATGCTATTTGTAAATATTCTTACTTTTCCACTCAGTTGACTAAATCATCTGTGCAATCAAAACATCTAATTCATATTTCACTTATATTTTAAAAACTGAGAAAAAACTATTACTAGACCTGCCTTTTAATTTTTTATTGGAAGTACAACATATCTATAGAGAAGTATGCCTCAAAAATTATTGTGGAGCTTAATCAGTTGTCAGACTGAACATAATGGTTGCTTCTTGATCAGATGACCAGCACCCTAGAAGCCTTCCTTGTGCACCCTTCCATTTGTACCTCTTCCCCTACAACCGTAGCCAATACCCTGGCTTCTAACAGCATGAATTAGCTTGGGCTGATTTTTGTGCTATGCAAGTGTAATCATACAGAATGTATGCTTTTTTATCTGGCTTCTTTCAGTCAACATTATGTTTGTGAGGGTCATCCTTTTTGATGCATGTAGTTACAGATTGTTTATTCTCATTACTGTATAGTATTCTGTTGTTTGTATATACCACAGCTTACATATCTATATTGGAACTGGTCTTTAAAAACAGTTTGCTATTTTACAGGAATAAGTAAGCTCCTGCCATAATTCTAAATAGAATTCTTTTTCTTCCCTAGGCATAAAACATGAATGTCAAGCAAATGGGCCAGAAGACCTCAATCGGGCTTGTATTGCTGAAAAGCTAGGTGGATCCTTAATTGTAGCTTTTGAAGGATGCCCTGTGTAGATTATCATTCAGTGCCACAAATTGAAAGCTTCCATGTTTAACGTTATCCTCTTGCTATATAACTAAAGCAAATATATTTAGGCCAGGATTTCACTGAGGGGGACTGTCTTGTCATCTTTTAGAGTAAACTAAATATTCCATAAACTTGTGCAAATGGCCTTAAATAAATCTAAAATCTAAAGTTTTATTGGTGTGAAATTAAATTCTTATTGGCCAAATGCCTGTTTTGTTGAGTTGACTTAAAAGATTTTTGTTAAGCTCAGGATTTTTAATAGTACAGTTCACTAAACAGTACCAGGCCCGTGAAGAGAATTATTACATCTTTGTTAACCTTAGCAGTTAATTTCTTTCTTTTGCTTAGAGAATTTGTCATAATCTGGTTATAATTTTGGCCCAAATTCTTTCTTCCTTGAACTAAGTAGAGTAATGGAATATAATTCTTCTCATAACATAAAGCAACACTAACACACTAACAATGGTAAGATTGTCAGGCAGTCTTTTAATTCTAGCAAATGTGTAGTGGAGACTGCCTCAAAATCATGTCCATTTATAATCCACACTGGTCTTGCGGAGCACTATTTCAAGCATGTCATTGGAATGCAGGAAGCAGCCCTTGCACTTGTGGTGAGCTTGCCACTCCGTGGGTGGAAGACTGTTCTGAGAGTGACCTTGCATCTTGGAAATCATGGTGTGTCCTCAGGAGAATGTACAATGTCTTGTAACAACTAATTATAATGCAAATTAGGGCTCCATTGTGATTTGCTTTGTTAATGAAAATGATAAAACAGTATATTAACAAGCTAGGACACCTGTAATATTTTTAATCGTGTTTTTCCTAGAACTTTGCTGCTTCTGGTACACTGAGGTGTAGAAGAACATCGGGTATATGAACATTCTGGTACAGTAAGGTGTAGAACATTGGGTATATGAACATACTGGTACAAGAAGGTGTAGAAGAACATTGGGGCCTAGGAGAACTGAATTCCCTAGAGCAGTTTGTCCATAGTGTGTGAAATGGGGACAGATGACACTCACAGGGAGCCACTGCCTGATGACACTTGGAAGTGATGGTCATTAACGTCACAGGTGTACCACTTTAAACAATATAGAGATGCACAACAGTTGAACTTTAGAAGTAGCAGTATTGGCTTTATGTAATAAAGGAAGCATTTTTAACTTTTGTCTCGTGTAATTATTCATGTGTGAATTGAGAAGGATTTTGCCTTCCATGTGGGGGTAAGTCATCAAAGTTTGAGTATTTCTGACAAATAGAGTTAAAGATCACGGCTCCTTACTCCTCTCATTGAATTAGAAGTTTGGTGTAATAGTTGGTAACCTTTTTGTTATTTCAAATGTTTATCCAGATGCCAGGCTTTTGGGTGGCAAATAGGTTATGATGCTTTAATCAAAATATTTCTTTCAAAATTGTCCAGAAAATTGTGCTGGCTGCTTGTCTGTCTTTCATCCTGAATATCTTGTTTTCTCTACTGCAGAGTACTTTCAGTGACTGTACATTAACATGCCTCCAGGGAAGCATTGCTGGCCCAAGGCTGCCCTACTCAAGAATCAGCCATGTAGTTAGAGCCAGGAGTTTTATCAGCACCGCACTCTACCTTTTTTTTTTTTTTTTTTTAAAAGATGACCGGTAAGGGGATCTCAACCCTTGGCTAGGTGTTGTCAGCACCACGCTCAGCCAGTGAGCAAACCGGCCATCCCTATATAGGAGCCGAACCCGTGGCCTTGGTGTTATCAGCACCGCACTCTACCGAGTGAGCCACAGGCCGGCCCAGAGCCAGGAGTTTTAAAAGGAGAAAGTCTTTTCTGTGGTTTCAGCTTGTAAAGTGTGGCACTGCTTCAGTAACCACCACCCCGTGCTGCAGTGCAGGCACATAAGCGTGTGTGTGTGTGTGTGAAAGATGCATGCTAGGGCAAGGATTTCAGACAATATACAGGGATGTAAGGTAAACATCTCCCAGCACCCTGCTCTTATTCCAGAAATTGGGAAGATAATAGTAGTTACTTTTATCTTTACCTAGGGGAATTTTTGAGAAGTCTTAGTGGATTCCTGAGGTTGGGGTCCAAGAATCATGCTAAGAAGCACTCAGGGTGATTCTGGTGCAAAATTAAGGTTTAGACCTCAGCTGATGTTGGTCAGGAACAAAACTACAGGTATATTCTACTTCTAGAGAACACATTTACATCTTTACAAGTGTTAACATGTTACAGAAATGTGTTTGTGGAATGCTGACTTAGGGTTTGTCTAGCGGTTACTCTTGCTCTGAGAAAGAAGCAAATAAAGCCACTGCTAACAGAATTCGATCAGAGCTTGACTGGGTGAAGTTTATTTCAAGGAATATTAATCTGAGAAAATAGTGAACACAGTGACTCAGAATTAGGTTTAGTCTAGTGGTTTCCTTTCTGCCGAACTGCTGCCCAGAGTGGTGTCTGGTCCAGACGTAGGAAGTGCAACTTCTCTTTCTTTATAGCTCCATTGCCCTCTGGACCATCGGAGACTGGATGTGCCCAAGGACACACCACTTTCTTGTGATTCGGGGAATTTCTAAAATATAACAGGCTGTAGACTGGGTTCAAGCTGGGCTGCAGCTGGAAGAAAGGACATTAATTGCACTTGTGGGCAGGTGGTGGTTGTTCCAGGAACCAGGGTTGCAGTGGAAGGCAGGCTTGAGTAACCCAAGTTGAGTAGCCGTGTTCGGCTGGCCAGAGCTTTCCTTCGGCTCTGCCCAGTCCCTGAAGTAGCCAGCCCAGAGAGGTATAAAGTAACTTGCCTAAGGTCACTCAACTCATAAGTGGCAGAACTGGGACAAAAACTTGTATCTCCTGGTTTCTGGTTCTGAGCCATTTGAACTGCTCCTCTGGAGTGTTCCACTTCATTTCTAACATCTGGAATTCAAAGGTTAGATCTTGTTCAGTGCTAGGCTTGAGATTTGAAAGGGGCAAGAAGGAAAACAATACATTTCTTTTGGGCCCCAAGCTCCTGTTAGACCCAAACCTGAAGGAAGCAGCTCAGTGAGCAGGTGTTTGTGGAGGGTGTAGAGTGGTTTGTGACATCTCACTTTCCCCCATCCTGCCCGTCACCAAGGCCTTGCCGGTTCCCTGCCCTCCCTGTCTTCATGCACTCCTTCCTTTGCCAGGTGCTGTAGGAGCTGTCTACATTGTCACAAACAGATGACCAAAGTAAGCTAGTCAAAAGGGCTTCCAGGTCTGGTGGTGCTGTTTATGGGCTGCATGACCCTGGAGCTTCACAGCCACTCCGGGGGCCTTGGTATTCTTCACTTTAAAAATGGTTTAGGCTAGATGTTCTCAGAAGTCTTTGAGCTCTAGTATTGGCGAAATAAGATGCAGCAGCATCCGCCAGCCCATGGCCTTGTGAAGCCAGGCCTGGGAAGAGCAAGGCTTCCTCTCTTAGCACACCAACCTGGTGATTCCTGCCTCTGTGGTGAACTACTCCATTCCACATGACTGCAAACGCCAGCCATCCAGTGCTGCTCGAGCACCGCTACACTTGCAGGACAGAGAGCTTGGAATGGCCAGGCCAATGAGCCAGGCTCCCGTGGGGCCTGCTGAGGGCTGCTGCCTCAGATACCTTCCTGAGCAGCTCTTTCCTCCCCCCGCAGGCCTGATGATGGAACCTTGCCCAGGAACAGCTGTGGTGGCCTGGCCAAGCTGGGGCAAGGCCCGCCAGGCTGCCTGGCAAACTCGGGCTCCCCCTGCCGACCTGACCCTGCTGGGAGGTATGGAGGACAGTTGGTGGGTCCCTGGAGCTTGAGCTGCAGGAGAAAGGCCCCCCTAAGTGGCATTTCCCTGAACTCCCCACGCCAGCCCCATGGGGGCCACACACCCTGGGCTGTGCCTTTGTTTTTCTTCCCTGCAGGTAGGCACGGGGTTCCCACAAGGTGGTCTGAGGAGGGAGTAGGGCCGCAGCCAGAATCCAGGGGAAGCTACCTTAGAGCTTGAGGCAGCAGTGTGGTATCCCCAGTGTCCCATCTCTTTCCCTGAGGTCTCCCCTTTTCTCTGCTTAAAATGAGCACACCCCGTTCCTGTGCCTTCAGAGAACATCAACTCAGTGTAGGGGCTCAATTCTGCAGTGTGGCGGGGGAGGGGAGCTCATTGGGCGTGCAGGCTCCCAGGCCCATGGGGGTGACTTAGGAGTCCTGGTGCAGGGCACAGGTCTGGCCTATTCCAGCCCCCCCTGGGGCCTCCTTCACCCACAGCCTGTCCTCCAGCTCCGAGTGGCCTGCTCACTGTGCAGGCACACAGAAGGTGCAGTTTTGAGGGGCCATAGAGTCAGGGGTCTCAGTGGCTGCTATTCATGGGATTCCATACACCCCCAAACTAAACTCGTCTAACACTGTCTCCGCCTGCCCCCCGCCCGCCAGCTGCTGATGCACTGCCAGGTGACAGAGGCGGGTTTGAAACTTGTCCTGCCTCTTACCAGACGGGTCACCTCACATGGAGGGCTGAGACCTCACCAGGGAGCCACGCACAGAGCCGGGCATGTGCATGCGTCAGGTGTTCGTATTAGTCACTTCCTCCTACTCAGTCCCCTGGCCAGAAATCGTGGTGTCAATGTCCCAAGATCTGTGGGCTCTCTTTCTTCTCCAGGGAGTTCTAGAAGGGGTATGATCGCCTCTCCTTGCCTAAACACCCTCAGTAGCTTCTACTACCTTACTGGGTCCAGCCCTTTGGCCTTCATTACTTGGACTCTAAAGTGCCGTTTTGGCCTCGCCTCACACCTGTGCCGCGGCACCTGCTATCCCCTTGGCTTTGACCCTTCCTCTCCCCTGACAAACATCTCCTCCTCTAGAGAACTCCGGCTTAAGCCCCCTTCTCCAGGGAGTCTTCCCAGGATTTCCAGCACCATTCCCAACTCAGCCATTAGCACACAAGTGCCACACAGAATGGTAAGGTGGCCCAGAAAGGCACTCTCTGAGAGCCAGGACCCAGGAGGGCATGGCTGTGCTGAGGTCAACAGCACCCAGCCCCTGGCAGACGCCCAGTGGGGGGATGGGGGGACGCATTGAAGAAAGGAGGCACGAGGCCCCACATGCACCAGCATACTGCCCGAGGCTGGAGGCTCCTGTGACAACCACCCCCTAGGAGGAGCCGCACCCTCCTCCCAAAGGGGCCTGAGCTGTGTAGCCAGTGCACCTGACCCTGGCCCAGCCCCCTGCCTACCGGACCAAGTACTCCTGGAGCAAGCTGTGGAGACCCCGGTTCTTGGGCTACCACACTCCCCTCACCCCACACAATGCCATCTTGCAGGACCCGCCATCCAAGAGCCCAGCGTCCCCCAGCCAGGTTTGGCAGATCAGATGCTCAGGATCCCAAGGCTTGGCAGGGAGGTGCTTCCAGAGCGCAGGCGGTGGGTACCGCCCAGTGGGCACTGGGCCTGAGAGGTGGCAGACAGAGGCATTGGGGGACCAAGGAGCAGCGAGTTTCACTGCCCCCCTACACGGAGCTACTGATCCCCAGCCTTCAAAGCTGAGAATCACACTTGTTCTCCCCCTTGAGGGGCGGCCCCTGTTGGTTTCTCATCCTGGGCCTGACAGCCAGATATGTGGGGGGAGCCCCAGCAGAAGAGCAGACAGAGCGCGGTGCCGGGCAACGTTGGTTTAATGGCATTAACATCCAGGAGGTCCCCAGCAGTTCTAGCTGGCAACTTGTGGGGTGAGGGGCTGCTGCCTGGCTGGGCTGGGTCGTGGCCTCCAGTCTGCTGCACAGCCTCCGAGAACTCACCACCTGGGCATGCCCCACTCCCGCCCTCCCACCCCACTGAAAAAAGACAAAACAATTGCACGATGGACACACAGGTCCCCAGAGCGCCCGCCTCCCAGCACGCACCGCGGGCCTGTCCTAGAGTTAGTTGATGAGGGCTTTGGCGTCTGCTCGGCGGTGGTCCAGGGCTGCTCCGGGGAATAGTGTTTATCGAATGTGACAAAGGTTCTTTTATAAAGTGGGGATCTGGAAGATCTATTTCTGTGGTTCTAAGAGACTCTTGTCTCTAATGGCTTCTCTTGGAGCTACCGGAAGTTGGGCCTGGGTAACGCTGTGTTGGTTTATTTATTTGTAAGGAATGTAAGGCATTTTGGTAAGTTGAACAGTAACTTCTTTTGCCGCAGAGGAGACTCAGACAGAGGTGCCCTCCTTTGAGCTGCTACTGTCCTCCTGCAAATAGAGGGTAGTGTGAGGGAAAGGCTGTGCCCAGGGGGCGGGGTAGACCACCCGCCTCAGCACCCAGGGGCCTTCAGTCCCCTCCCTGGATGAATAGCCCCAAGCCACTGCAGTCACTTCAGAGAACAGGGAGCCCAGCCCAGCCCATTTGGAGAACTAGAGCCACTACAGGGACTGAAGGAGAGAGACCAGGGACAGTGCAGAGGAGAGTGAGGGCCTTGAGTTTGGGTGAGAAACTGGTCCTGTGGGCAGAGGGCTGGGCCAGGGGCAGGGCACTGGCTACAAAGGCTGCAGAGTTAGGACCTGGGTCAGCAGTGGGGGTCAGAGACTCACTTCCCACCAAAGGGAACAACGAAAGGGTGGGTGCTGGGCCCAGTGGGCAGGTGCCACATTAGGAAGTCTCTGTCCCCACCACCTCTGCCCAGCTGTTTCTCTTTCTTGTCCTTTTTCCCCGGGGCTCCCAGCACCATGACCAGCCCCTCCCAGCAGCTCTGATTCCCACCCACCCTGATGTGGGACAGGACCCACTGCAGAGTGATCAAGCCATGGAGGGCATGGGAGCCAGCCCAGTGCCCTGGCATGCACAGGGCACTCACTGTTTTTTCTAACTGTTCCTGCAACTTCTTCACTGTGTCTTTCTCCTTTGCCAGCTGTTCTTGGGTTGTCTTCAAAAGCTCCTGCAGTTTGGTGGCAGCGCGCCCCAGGTCACTCGTTAACTTCTTCTCTTTTTCTAGTCTCTCCTGGGGGTCAGAGGATTGCAGGGGTTTAGCCCTCGTGTGACATGTGACAGCAGCAGGAAGGCCACCCTGGCTCTGCGCACAGGACCCAGACACCCTGGGATTGAAGCCCTCCAGGGGCATGAGGAAGATGTCTGTCTCCTGGTCACTCAGAGAAAGGCAGTGACGGTTGGAAGGAAACGGCCTGTGTTGACCATTGCATCTATGTCCCATTGTCTGCCAGCACTGGCAGTAGAACTTCCTGGGACAATGGGAACCTCTACTCCGCCAACGGAGCAGCCACCAGACAGACATGTGGCTACGAAGTACCTAAAATGTGGCTGGTGTGACTGAAGAACCTACTTCACATTTTATATAATTTACATTTAAATAGCCACGCTGACTAGTGGCTGCCATGTAACACTGCAGGGCTAGGACCCCACCCCTTACCCTAAGTAAGGATGGATTTGCTTGAGGAGCCTCAAGATGGCTCCCCCCACCCCTATCCCAGGTGGTGACAAGAAGCCAGGGCTGAGGGCTGGCCCAGGTGGGGTCAACTCTCCCCTTCCTGGCCCCTCTGCAAGGTCAAGGGTGGTCAGAGCCTTGGAAGCAGACCCCACCGGTCTGACTCCCAGCCAGCCGCACCCTCTACCTTCAGCTGCGAGGCTGCCTCCGTTTCTGAAGACTCCAGGGGGCCGGCAGCACGGAGCTTCTCCAGCTCCTCTTGTAACCGACTCGCTGAGGTCTGGGCCTTGTCACAGAGAAGGGAACAGGGGTCTGGGTGAGACACCTCACCAACGGCTGAGCAGTCAACCCCAACCAAGTCTGCTTAGGGACTAGTGTACCCCCAGCCTGATGGGTGACAGCTCAAGCCTGTGGCTGGGATGAGCAGGTCAGACCCACATGGACAAGGAGGCAGCAGAGTGACCATGAGCACCAGCCCCTCAGGAGTCCCAAGGATGCAGACCACCTCACAGCTCCCAAGGTGGTCTTCAGCCCTGCGCCCGCCTGCCTGTGCCCACTGCTCCCTGACCCCGATGCCTCCGGGCCCAGCCCCACCCCAGACATGGGGCCCGGGGGGAAGGACGGGGCTGAGAGCCACCAGGCAGGGCCTGACCTCCTCCAACTCGGCCGTGAGCCTGTGCCGCTGCGTCTGCTCGTCCTCCAGGATGGCTTCTGTCCGCTCCAGCTGCATTTTCAGCTGTGTGCAAACACCACAAACATAACCTGGGAACCCTGCAAAGGTCCCAGGGCTCCCAGGCAGGCTGAGCACGCGGGCCTGGCCTTCTTGCTGTTTCTACGACTCCCTTGGGTCGTTTCCAATGCGCCTCCTCTGGGGGAGATGGTGCCTCAGCCTCATGTCATTGAAAGAGATGCTGACAGGGCCTCAGGCACCATTAATGAAACCCACAGGACAAGGAGGAGACCTCAGAGCCACCACACAAGGCTGGCCCCACAAGGGTGACCCCTGCAGCAGCGATGCCCACTACCACCCTGGTGACAGGCCCTGCTTCCTGTGAGGGTTCCCATGGCTGTTATTTGGGTCAGCCTTCTGGAGAGCAAATGTCCTACTAGTGACGTCCCAGCGAGGGATGTCAGTGGAGGATACAATGGAGATAAGTCCTCCCCTGTGGCTCAAGACCCCTTCCCGGGGCTGCTCCCCCAGCCCTGTAAGCACAGTCCCGAGTCGCGGGCCTGTTCCTCCAGCCTCTCTCTGACCCCGCCTCCCTGGCCTCTCCGCCTGGCCACCTTCCCCACCCTCTGTTCTGTTCGACATCTGTCTCAGAACCTGGGCGATCCTCATCTGGGCGAAGTGGGGTGGGGAGGGGAGGTGGTGGCAGTGTTGAGTGTAGTCAGAGCAGAGGCTGCAGCGGGCCCTGCGCTCCTCCTGGGAGGAAGAAGCCAATGGGAGCAGGTGGGTGGGCAGTTAGTGGCATGTCTGGGGACCGGCTCACCGCCCTAACCTCGATGGGGTCCTGCTCAGCTGGGGGGACCTCTGGGGGCGCAGCCGGGGACCCAGCTACGTCACCATCCTCTACGTGGCTCTTCATCTCACTCAACTGCTGCCTCACCTGAAACAGGGAGGGGTGGTTTTCTGCAAATACACTGCCGGTCACATGGCCACCTTGCACGCACTCACACACACAGAGCCCCCTTGGAGCACCGTGGCTGCTCTCAACAGCCGAAGCCCCTACAGGGGACCTGGTTTGGTAACTGTGGCCTATGTCCAAGTCCCCACCTGTGCAGGTCTGCTGGGACAGGGGCCAGGGCCACAACATAGTCAAACCGAGGCCTTGAGGTCAACAAGTCTCTGGGCTAATGAGACCTGTGTGCTCTGCTCAGGCCAATGGGCAGGAGCCCTTGCCGGAGCAAGGTGACCCTGGTGGACACATCCCCTGCTGGGCTAACGGATCCAGACCGAACAGAGAGGCGGCCAACAATGCTGCCTTCATCCAAGTTTCTTCAAGAATGTGGGCCACTGCTCAGAGCCCTTTCTGGGGTTTAGAAAAGATAATGAGATGACATTCTCGCTTAACAAGGTCCCCACCTCTGAGCTCCGTTACCAGGGGCAGATGACATGTCCGATGGTCCCCAAGGCCACTGGGCCTCCAATTTGAAGGGAAGCAGAGTCACTCGAGAAGATAGAGTGAAAGTTCCAATCAGAGGAGGCCTGAGTGGGGCCCATGGCATGAGCTCCCCAAGCTCCCCAGGGGATGTGGGTGCTCTCAGGCCCCATCCAAGAGGCCCTTGCTCTAAGGAGCAACCCAAGTGCATGGAGCCTTCCTTCCCTCCCTCACTCCCAACAACCACAGTTGAAAGATGATGAGAAACAGGAGGCTTCCTCTGCAGGCACCCCCAGCCTGGGCCATCCCCAGGGCCTGTCACACAGATGAGTGGCCCTCAGACTCAGGAGACTTGGCCTGGGCAGCACTGCCCTCTAGTGTGGTGGTCCCAGGTGAGGCCCGAATGACCAAGGGGGCTCCAAGGCATTGGGAGCAGGTGCCAGGCTCAGTGGGTGCTACGGGGGGAACACCAGCCCCATGGACCAGACCTACTGTCTCAGAAAGTCAGAGCTGCACATTTTAATTCAAAGTCTCCCAAGTTCTAAATGTTGACAACTGGTTCAAGACTTTAAAAAAGAACATGCAGATCAAACAGAACACATCTGTGGCCTGTGACTGCAGCAGGGAGGGGTGCTGCTTACCACCCAGGCCCAGCACCTCTGTAAGGCTGGGCTAAACACCCCGGGGGCTGGGACTTGGGATCAGACACCATGGCTGGAAAGCCAGGCAAGACTGGCAGGGCTCTGAGGCCCACACAGCCGGAGCCCCTCGTGCCTGTACATGGGGCCTGATCTTCTCTGCAGCCAACCCCGGGTGCCGGCTGGGTGCTCAGGAGGATTTCTGTGTCTGCATGCCTCTGGGGTTGACTGAACTGGTCTGAGCCATTACTCAGATGAGAAAAACCCACAGAAGGCAAGGGACTTGCTGAGAGCCACAGGGCAATGGGCAGCCAGGCCCTGAGGGATCCCCAGGCCTCCTGGTCTTGTGTTGCTGGGGGCTGCAATGTGCCTGATGCCACCAGGTGATGCAGTGGGCTCCCAGGGAGTGCAGACCCCCAGAGCTCCCAGCCCTACACTCCCACTGCCCTGAACGGGACCAGACTGCTGGCGGGGATGGGTAATGGAGCATGAGCATTCTGGTCCCAGCAGCTACAGTCCCAGCTTGGAGCTTTGGGCAAACATGTAGGAAGACCCCATGACGCCTGTCCCATGCAGCTAAATCAGTGACATGGTCTCTCTCTGCTAAGCTGCATTATCTTTGAGAAGATATAAAAACACAACAGGCAAGTGCATCTCACACGTATAACCCCCACGTCACACTCCCCTGCCCCGGGAACTCCGGGCCCACCTACCAGGGTGAGCTCATGGCTCTGTTTCTGGGCTTCGCTCTTGGCTGCATCCAACTGAGATTGAGATTCTAATAAAAGTTGCCTCAACTTGGGGAGGAAAACAGAGCCGGGTGATGGGGAAAAAGAAGAGAAGAGAAAACCAGTTCTTGTGGGTTAGTTAGCAGCTCAACATAAAATCTAATACACCCATTCAACCCAACTTGAGAAACACAGAGCAGGGAGGGCGCAGGGCTCTGCTGGGCTCCTTACAGCTAGTTTTTTTCTGAAGACTTAGGAAGGATGGTATTCACTGCCTGTCTGTCTCAGGCCTTCACAAACGTTTACCCATCATCTCTTGCAAAAAATACCCAAAGTCTAAGATTAAACCAGAATTGGTGTTGCTAGGTTTTTGCTTTCTGCTTCTGAACAGTCAGAAAACAGTGCAGATTTAAACCCATTCCCCACCAGAAATTATGTCAGCAAGCCAGGCAGAGGATTCCCTTGCTGAGGGGGTAACCCAGAATGCCATGTATCTCCCTTGGCAAGTGAGGCCAATGGTTTTTGAAACCTGCCCTGAGACACACCTCAGGTCTGACAGCCCAGTGAGGTGTCTGCAAGGTTTAAATCAGACTTTCAGGCTCACGTGAAGGAGAACTGCTTCCATAGGGCAACTCTGGGGAGGACCCGGACCCCACTGGGCAGGGGCTGTGCAGAGCTGGGACCACAGTCCACGGAGTGGACGTGCTCACCCCTGCCACCTCCTTGGCGTAGTTCTGGCACTCGGCGCTGGCAGCTGCCATGTGCTTCTCCAGCTCCGCCTCCAGCTGCGAGGTGTGCTCCCTCACCTGCATGGACACGGATGCACAGGCACGCCCCCCGTCAGTGGCCTCCAGCCGGCCAGCAGGGGGCACTAGCCACGGGGAATAGGGCAACGAACATCAAGTCTGACTGGCCTTGGGATAAGCAAGGGCTGTGAGACCTCTGAGACCCACAAGCTACCAGGTACACCAAGGCCAACGAGAACCCAGTCCAGGCAAGAGAGCCCTCACTGAAAATGGTCCCCCAAGCTCCAGTGCTGCTGAGTCCTGACGTGTTCTCAATCCTCAGCAGCCGGGGAGAGGACAGCTCTCAGATTTACTTGCAAAGAGGGGTATCAGGGTGCCTCCTTTAAGCTCAGGGCTCACTGTGGTGTCTGAATAGAGCAGGGGTGTCACCTTGAGCACCTCCCATTTGTGAAGGCCAAAGCCACCATTTACCAAGGCTGGACACTTCTGCACAGGGCCTGCGGCTGGGTCTCAGGACACTCTGAGATTGTAAATGTCTCTAATTAAGGAAAAACAGCATGGACAGGATCCCTTGGCTTGAGAGAGAACAGCCTCTCTTAAGACACATGGTCCATGAGGGAAAATAACTGAAGTAGTTTCTGTAATATCCTCACTTTCAAACAGGCTCATGGGACGAGAGAAAGTAGCTGTCCAAGCAGAGCCCCCACCTACCTGATCTGAATTTTCAAGCTCTCCTTTTAGCTTCTCTATAGTCTCTTCGAGATATTTCACTGTGACCCGTGACTACAAAGCAAGGGAAAGGCCTGTCACTCATGGGCACCTGGGGGGTGATCCACTTCCAGGATGCATTGCTGTGTCTCCTCACAGAGACCCGAGCAGGACCAGACCCAGCCCAGGAAGCTTGAGCAGTGTCCACCCCCTTGAAGCCAAGACAGGTGCCCTGTGTCCTCCAGCAGCCTCTTCCTGGGGGGTGTGCATGGGGGCCAGCATGAGCCTGGGGTATGGTCTCCTTAAGACTGAAAAGCTCAGCTGTCATTCTGTAATCATGCTTTATACAGTGTCACTGAAAAACACCAACCATGACACACAAGTCTCATAAGTGATGGAGACAGTCCTGTCGACTATCCCCCTGGCCTTTATGGAATTCCAACCCAGCTGTGTGTCTTTAGCAGGTCACACTGGACTTCTCAAGGGTGGGGCTGCGTGCCCGTGCCAGGGGCAGCCAGGGGCCCATCTGTACCTTCTGGAGCTCCTCCTCTGTGGTGCCCACTTTGGACCTCCACACCAGCTCCTCCTCCTCAACGCTCTTCTGCAGGTCTTTGAGCATGCCCTCCTGGGGTGGGGGTGAGACGGGCCCAGAGTCAGTGCTACGTGGGGAGGGAAGGTGGCCACCGTCCTGGAGTGGGGGCCTCTGGTACATGTGCAAATGCTGGCTGCAGGGCCACTCAGGGAAATGAGGTCTGTGACCCGAATGAGGCTATCAGGACTCTTGTCCCTATGAGATGAGCAGCACTGGAGGGGGCTGTTCAGAGTCATCTAGCACCACTCTTAGAGTCACAAAATCAGGGATCTCAACTACAGGCAGCCAAATGCTCCCCTGGCCCTCCCCACGACTGTCTCCCCAATCTTCCTTGTTAAAGTCCCTTTACTATTCAGCCAAAGAAATGGGGCCCAGAAAGGGGAAGTGACTTGCCCCAGGTCACACAGTGTCGATAGGCTTTTCTGAAACACCGAAACACCACACTGCCTCCCGCTGCCTCCACCGCCCCAGCCCCAGAAGCTCTCCTTCCCAGCACCTTCCCAGACGCCCAGCCAACAAGGTGCACGGGCCACTGTCACTGCTCACCGTCTCAGCCAGGATGCTGCGGTACTGGTCACACTCGGCCTGCAGAGAGTTCTGGGTCTCCTCGGCCTCCCTCAACTTTGAGGCCAGGTCCTGAGGGCAGAGGGATGAACAGGCATCTGGTGAGCCAAACACAACAATGTCCCCTTGGCTGCTCACTGAGATGATTCTGGGCACCCTCCTGTCCTGGGGACAGGGGAGATTTGCAGGTGACAGTGGCAGCCATGCTTACCGAGGGCGGCTCCGTGGTAGCCGGTGGCTGCTTCAACAGCTTGGAGCCTTTCTCTTTGAATTCCTGCAGCCATTCAGCGTAACTCTGCAACGAAACATACAAGGTGGGGCCTGGGAACGTTGCCGGGAGCATGGCTGCTTCAACAGCTTGGAGCCTTTCTCTTTGAATTCCTGCAGCCATTCAGCGTAACTCTGCAACGAAACATACAAGGTGGGGCCTGGGAACGTTGCCGGGAGCAGTGGGGTCCCTGAGAGCTGCTCCCCTCCTACCTGGTGTGCAGAGACACAGAGCTCCGGGAGCAGGGCCAGCAGCACCTCCTTGGTCTGTGCTTCGGTCAGGTGGAGCTGCTTCTCCGACTCTTCCTGCAGGAAGGGCAGAGGGAGAGAGAAGGGCAGTGCTCAGCCTGGACGTTCAGGCCACCTCCCCAAGGGCGCTGAGATGCTGCGTCTCCACCCCAGGAAGGGCACGTCCTCAGCTCTTCAGGGAAGGGTCAAGAACCAAAGATAATGACAAGGAGCCTTTGGGGACAGGGGCTTAACTCCAGCTGCCAGGTCCCAGCAATGCCAGCCTGAGCCAGGTGATTTTAGACTAAGCTCTAATGGAAGGAGGATAACAGGCCAGCCCCAGGCGGCAGGTTCTGAGGCTCAACCAGCTCTCATTTTCCCAACACTCTCTCTCTCTCTCTCTCTCTCTCTCTCTCTCTCTCTCTGTGTGTGTGTGTGTGTGTGTGTGTGTCAGAGAGAGAGAGAGAGAGAGTTGGGGCAGGAAGGGGGGAGGGAGGACAGTCGTGGCTCCTGATGTTTTGAAAGCAAGGGCTGTGATGGGGGTGGGGCGTGAAGGCAGAGAAGTGGTCTGGCGGCCCAGCCAGCGGCCACCACAGTCGGGCTGGGAGACTCATCTCCAGCCATGTTGGAGGGAAGAAGGGTCAGTACTGCTTCTTTGTAGAGGGGAAACCAACTCAGAGAAGATAAGGGGCTTTGCTTGGAGTCATGTTTCTCCCAAAGCACAACTGTGCATCCCTGTGCTGTGCTGGGTCAGAGCCCGCATTGGTCCTCCTCAATGTGTTCCCAATCAAAGGACAAAAAAGGAAAAGGAATCAAAAAAGAACTGAGGATCATAAAGCATAGCCTAAGACCACAGTGTGCCCAGGGACAGAGAACAGGGACCCCATTATGAGGTGGCTGCAGGGGACTTTAAATTTTATCTAATTAACTGTCCCTAGCAGACTGAACCTGCTGTCAGCCCCACCACCACCTGGGCATGGCCTAAGACCCAGGCAGCATCAGGAACTCCAAGTGGGTTAGAGCGGACGGAGTGGTGCTCTGGAACGTGTGCGTGGAAGATGCTTACAGATGGACGCCCAGCCTGACCACAGCCCGCCCTGAGGTCTAGACGCACATCTGAGAAGCAGACCCTTTGTGGATGAACCCAGTTATCCACAGATAATGCCTGCGGCCTACAGTGGCCCCCTGACCTCATGACCACCATTCAGGGCCCTCTCGTTGTGGGAGTCCAAGGCAAGCCACAGAAGACCCAGAAGCCACCTGCTGTCTTTATCTGGTTGCATGACCACAGCAAATCAGGTGACATCTCTAGTCACAGCTTCTGCATTTGCCACATGGTGGCCAGATGGTCTCTGAGATCACTTCTGGGGCTTAAAGCCCAAGATTCCAGGAGTCTAATTACAGCTCTAACAGCGTGGCCCGAGGCCGGCCCTTACCATCTGCCCATCTCGGGCTCCTCATCTAATGCAACCCTCAGGCTTCCTGGCCAGCTCAGGGTTCCAGAGGCGTATGGGAGCCCCAGACAGCAAGAGATGCCCGCACACCCCACCACCACCTGGGCAGCAGGAAGCATGGGACCAGTGAGGACTTGCTCACTGCTAAAGATGTCCTCCCTTTGTGACTTACTGTAAGGATTACTCAAGGGACCTACTGGGCCATGACCTCAGAGGGTCAAGAAAGAAGCAGGACTATTCAGACAAAATACCATGGTTCAAAAATAACACAAAGAAAGTCTGTGAAGACAGCACGGCCTCAGGCTCACTCAGAGGGCAGCTGTGCTTGGCTCTGCACCCTCATGACAGAGGGCCCAGCAGGAAAAAATCAACCAAGGGGACACATCTTCCCTCCACGTTAAGGAAAAGTGAAAGGCAGGGAGGGAATAGAGAGAAAGGCAGCGGTCCCCAAAAGGAGGAAGACACAGTGCCCTCGGGCCCTGCTGTGGAGTTATGAGGAGCTCTGGGGCCCAGGCTGTCCCGCAGGCAGCTGGCATAGCTTGCGTCTGTGGTAAGACCAGTCAAGTGCTGTTAATCGAGTCTTGGCGTGACTAGGGAGCGTCTGCAGACGGCCGGGGCTCTGACCTTGGCCTGGCTCAGGGAGCGCAGCTTCTCCTCGCAGGCCCTCTCAGCCAAGGCCAGCGCCTCCATCGCCTTCCAGTTCTTCTCTCGGAGGTCCTGGGGGGAGACGTGGGGGAGGTCAGTGGCCCACACCAGGCAGCTGCTGATATGTCTCCCACGAGCTGCCTCAAGCCAGTCTCAGCAAAGGCAAGGCTTGGAGAACCCCCAACCTCACTCCAGACCCAAAGGGGACCTGCAAAGGGACAAATGCCCTATCCCTCAACCCATGCCCATGTGGCCTCTCCTGGACATCACTTAACACAAGGCCAAGGTGCCACAGCATGATATGGGGGTGACTGTGGCACAGGGGCATGGAGAGGCGAGCACCTTTCCTCTAGTCGGGGGGGAGGGGAGTTGGGTCAGCCTGCCTCCTCAGAGAAAAGAGGTTCCTGCCACCAAACAGTGAGCACCGACCCCCCTGGCCAGCTCCCTTGGGAAGCTGTGGTCTCCACAGGGAGGAGCAGACGGGCGACCAGCCCCAGCTTTGTGAGGAGGGCAGGTAGGGAGGATGAGGCTGAGGCCCCCACGGCTCTGCCCATGAGACGCGCATAGCTGGCATATCACCTGCCTGGCTTCTACACCCCTTCCTCCTGCACCAACCTCTCCGCTTGGGGTGACCACGTGACCCAGGCCAGGCCAACCGTACACTGTGTCCCCATCACAGGGACTGGCTCCACGCTTGGGCACGTGACACAAGCTGATCCAAGGGCAGTCGGGTCCAGGACTTTGAGGGTGGACCCCAGGGGAAGGCAGGCCTTCTGCCGTGAACAGCAGCACGGTGGGCCACAGAGCAGGAACGCCCAGGCAGGTCCCACTCAACAAGAGCCTTTGGGCAGTCCTGGCCTGTGTTATCCTGGCCCCATCTCCTGCCACTCCCCCACCCCTGACACTCACATTGTTCTTCACCTTCTGCTGCTCCACGGCCTCCTTGAGCTCGGTGGCCTCCTTCTCCAGACCCGACACCTGGGACTCCAGCTCCTTGAGGCTGAGGGGACACAGCAAGGTCAAGGTCACTGCCCAGGTTCCGAGGGTCCACAGCCCTCGTCTCTGAGGCTCTCTTCCTCTGCCCAGGGCCCAAACTGGCCCGAGGCCCCATTCTGTTGAGGAGCACCTGTGAGGCTGAGCCACTCGGCCAGGGACAGTCCCCTTCCACTGCTCCCACCTTGCAGGGTGCGGCTTCAGGGAAGCCTGAGCAGCTGCCTCAGTCCCTCCTCCCTCTTATCCAGAGTGCCCAGGGACCAGGGAGAGGACCCCAGAGGCTGTCATCAGAGTCCCACTTGGTGACACTGGCCACTGGGGCTGGAGGAGGCCAGAGAGGCTGCAGTGAACAATGCAGGTTGGACCCCACGCAGTCGTGTGTCCAGAATGTTCTTTATTGTAGTGAACTGAGCCCCTTTGCCTGACACGCAGCTCCTACTAGACCCGCTCCTGCCCTGTCACACAGAACACGTCAGCTGGCCCTTCTCCACGGTCACACCTGGCCTTCGGAAGAGCTGGACCGGCCCTTCTCAGTAGACACCCGAGCTAAAGACTCATGGTCACTGTCACCATTGCTCTTGGCAGCTCACAATGGGCCACGACTCCCCACTGAGTATGATGGACCATCCTTTGCCCAAAACCTTAGTCTGTTGAGACCCAAGGGCTCCTGCCATCAGTTCTGTGCCCTGGGATCTGAGGAACTGGTCCTGAGATTACACCCAGATGCCATGTGACCAGCGAGATGCAGAGACCCAGTGGGCTCATCCACCCTCACAATCCAGAAAGTGAGGGGTCGACACTGCTGCAGAATTGCAAGAGTGGCTCTGAGGATAAGCTGCAAAAGGACACTTTTGGACATGGAAATTCAGAGCAGATGGGAGAGGAGCTAGGGATATGTCAAATCTAACGTCCAGAAGTGGTCAATGGTGACCTGAATCAGAGCAACTCGGGCCACACTGAGAGGCAGGGAAGAAGCCCCCACAGGCCACCAGCCTGGGGAAGGCAAGGTGTGGTCTGGCCACTGCCAGCCAGATGGGGACATATGTATTTGTATTTCTAACTGTAAGCCATGGTCAAAACCTTTACGAACAACACCGTTACAGCACATACTAACACTGAACGTGATCTCAGCACGGGCCACGCTGTCTGGTAATGGACTCTGGCCACAGCACAGCCTCACATTTTTATCCTATAGTTTGCATTTGGCCTTGAAGACAGCTGTTGGCATCTTGGGTGTTGGTCTGAGACTCACAGAACCTTGACCCCACCACCCTCAAAGCTCCACTGGGACCTTCAAAGATGCCCCTCACCACTTTCTTCTCACAGCCCTGTGTCATGCAACAGACTCCTCCAGCAGACCACCCCAAGAGCAACCCCAAAAGAACACAACCCGGAGGAGGAAGAGTCACAGGCCAGTGGCAAGGAAACTCTGACAATCATCCCTCTCGCAGCTGCTGCCCGAGTTCCAAAAACGTTTGGGGCTGAATCACTCTTCTCTACTCCAGAACAGGATGGCCCAGCCAAGACACAATTTGCAGATAAACCGTTTGAAAAGGAAATTAAAAAACCAATACACATCTGCATGATGCAAGAAATTAAAATCGACCCAATCTGCAAAACATGACTTAGTTATCCTAGTAATTCTTTGTGTGGCCCAAGAATTGGATCTTAAAATACAAAAACAAAAACAAAGACGTCTACCCAAACAAATACCATGAGAAATGAAGTTTGCTGGTGCTTTCTGGGAAAGGAAGGTGGAAAGGGTTTGGTTATGGGTCTTCCACAAGGCATTTTGGGCTTTCTGGGCAACTGGCTTCCTTCCCCAGGCCCCAAACACAGAGCCCAATGCCAGTGAACATGGGCTGTGGCTTGGGGAGCTGCATCTGATAAGATGCACACAGGCAGGTGACTCTTTTGTGATGGCCTAGGACATATCTGACCATGTGTGAGGGTATGGAGGACCCCTTCCACACCTCTCCTCCATGTGGCTGCTCTGCGGACTCCCGGCCACGGCAGCTAGGACCCACCTCCCGAGCTTGTGGGCATCTGCTCATGGACATATGCCACAGAGGTGATGGTCACAAGGACTCTGGCCTCTGACTTGAACTGCCCTACCAAGGTGTTGGCCCCGGCCTTAGCAACAGCAAACAAACAGTCCCCAGGCATGGCCTGGCACTGGTGCTGCTGACACTGAGGGAAAACAAGGTCTAGCCAGCAGTGAAGTCACTTCATGGACAAAGGAAAAAACTCTGCGATGCCATCAGCTCTAAAATGCACCAATGTCCCAAACCTGTGGTCCAGCAAAAAGCCAGGGCAACATCCCAGGTCTCCATTCTGGTTGTGCAGCCATTTTTCCCATTTGGTTTACTGACCTTAGTCCCTAAAATCCCTCGCCTTGTGGACATGGAGCGAACCTTCTGACAGCCAGTCCTTCCCCACGAAGAGATGGGTGGATGGACGGATGCAGGCGGCAGGAGGTCCGCCCACCCCTCTGAGGCACTTGCCACTCTCTACACAGTTTTGCTCCTTGAGAGTGGGCAAGAGCTCTCTGCAAGGCTGCCTTCTTCCCTGCCCAGGCCTGTTCCCTGTCCTCAAAGTCACTGGAGGAATGGGGGAAGGGATGGGGCCTCTGTAAGGGGACTCAAGCAGCTCAGGGGTTGTCGGCTGCACAGGCTGAGGCAGAAGACAGTGGGTAGGGAGCCTGCGGCCCGCCCTGTCAGCTCACCGAGCCTGCTGCTGCTCGGCCTCTGCTTGGCTGGCCTGGGCGTCCTGGGCGTCCCGGGCGTCCCGGGCCTGGCCTGCCTCCAGCAGAGCCTCGATGGACCGGATTCTCTCCGAGAGCTGTGAGTTCTCTGCCCTGGCCTCCTTGAGCTGCCCGTGGAGACCGCTCATCTCCTCACACTTGCTCTTCACCTCTGCTTCAGAGGACTGTAACTTGCTGTGCAGCTCTGCACCAGAAGAGACACAAGAGAGAAAGCTGGGGACTGGAAATGCAGGGATGGACACCGCACCCACTGCCCCACCCCCCCCTTCCCCAGCACACGTGGGGCACCCAGGGCTCCCTCTGCCACCTCCTGTGTGTGCCTTGGGGTCTCAAGACACACTTCTGACCACTGGGGCTTCTTATTGACTAGGGAAGAAAGTCACACACTGGTGTCATTCTTGAGGACCATTAGGGTAGAATGAAATGCCCTCACCACTAATGAGAAAGTGATGGAAATCTAAAGTGGATTTTAGTTGAAGTTTCTAAAGATTCATTCTCTAGAAGACTCTGTCTCATAAAAGCTTACATCAAGGGCAAGGGTGATACGGCCAGAAATTCTTTAGGAAGTGACTACGTAGACCCCACTGGTCCATACCTTCCCTACCTCCCTGGCTGGGTCCCCCTCCTCTCCCAGGCCTCTCAGTGCTGGCAGGGCCTGCCCTGGGCCCCCTTCTCTTGACGTGTCCTCCTCCCCAGGTGACCTCAGATAGTCCCATGGCTCTAAGTGTCACCAGCATGCCTATGACATGCACTCCCCCCCCAGGCCTGGTCTCATCCCAACTCCAGGCTCTGCTGCCTGCCACTTCCAAATGAAGCTCTCATTAGATAACTCAAACTCCGCATTCTGGACCCCCCAAGGGTCTCCTCATCCTGGCTGCTCTGTTTTCCTCTTGCTTCCACCTCTCGCCCAATGTCCAACCCTGTGGATTCCACATCCACCACCTGCCAAATCTTTCTCCTCCTCACCAGCACCCTCTGTGGTCACCTGAGCCAAGCCCTGGTACCTGGGACCTGGACAACTGTGAGAGCCTCATCCCCAGTCTCCCTGGGCCACTCCTGCCCACTATGGTCCATTCCCTGCCCAGTACCAACAGTGTACAGGCAAATGAGACCACGTCATTCCCCTGCCCTACCGCTTCCTATCATGCTTTACACAGTACCCAAACTCCTCCGAGAGAGGGAGACGGGGCCCTGCCCATCTCGCCCCACACCAGTCACCAGACTTCTCATTCCAGCTCCACTCGTTAACCCTGTTTCTTGTATAGGCCAAATTTAAGTTCACTGTCCTCTCAGGGCCTGTGCTGGCTGGTCCCTTCCACCATTCAGATCTAGGCTTAAACAACCCCCTCTTGCCTCAGAAAGGCCTCCATGACTACCCCAGCCTTCTGGAGCAGGGGCCAGCATCTGGGCCACAGGCCACCCCCATCCTGAATGCCTGTTGTTATAAATGAAGCTTTGTTCCAAACACAGCCAGGTCTGTTTGTTACACACTGCTCAGGGCTGCTTTAGCCCACAGCAGCACAGCTGAGTAGTTGTGACAGAGACCGTCCAGCCCACAAAGCCACAGGTACTTACCACCTGTCCCTTCACAGCAGCAATGTTTGCCAGCCCTGCCCTGGCTTAAGACCCTGTGCGGAGGGCATTGCTGTGTGGTCGTGTCCTGGCACTGCTGCTGTACTCCTGGCCCAGTCCTGTGCCCACAGCAGTACTCAGCCCACAGCAGTCACTCAGGAAGTACTAGTGAGCCAGCGACTGCCCAGCTCTCACCAGCACTGTCTGCCCCCTTTCTGCAGAGGCCCTCGGCACCCTATCCTTGCCACCCTCTCCATGAAGCACAGGGGGACCAACAGGCCCCACCTTCCAAACCTGGCTTGGCCTCTTGGACTGACTGATCCAGAAGAGCAGAAAGGCCCAGAATAAACACACTTTCAGTTGAGACCAGCTATGACTTCAGGGCTGCCTGGCCTCACCCTCAGCCACAGGGTTCCATGGGCATGAAGGAAGATAGGGCCCCAGCTTGGGAGGGGGGTGATGTACACGCCCCAACATACCCATGCCCAGCCCTCACAGGTCCCACCCCTGAGCCCGTGCCCAAGGGACACTGTGCTACTGGCCTGACCCCGTGCCTCCAGCTGGTCCCAACAAGACATGTAGTTCCTGCCTCTTTGACTTTCTGAGGGGCACAGTGAGGGATCTGTGCTGGCTTCCCATCAACAGGGCTGGCACACTGAGTTCTGGCCCTGGCAGTGGGGCTGGGAGGGTGCACAGACCGTCCCCTGCACAGGCCATCTGGGCCCTGCCCAGAGCTGAGTGTCACCGCGACACCACCCTCACCCGCTATCTGCTGCTGCTGCTCCTGGGCCTTCTCGGCATCTGCCTGGAGGCTGGCGTGGCTGGTCTGCGTGCGGCACAGTTCCCGGCTGACCTCATCCAGGCGCTTCTGCAGAGCTTCCTCACTCTCCTTGTGAGACGCCTGCGGAGGGGCACAGAGAGAAGGGCCATGAAGAGAGAAGGAGGCGGGGCCCTCAGTAGATGTGAGGTCAGGACAAAGCTCTATATGCTGACCATGCTACACCTACCAAAGCCCTGTGTGGTCTCTGGTTTGTCTATGCAAGAAGGAACTTTATTCCTTAATGCTCTGTAATCTGCACAAAATTCACCCCAGCCAACATCCTTTCAGAGAGAAGCAGCTACCAGGGACCTAAACTCCCTTCCCACTTCTTTGGGTTTCGATACTTTTACATTCTCAAGTGATTCAAGAATGCGTGCTTGTTGCAAAGATACCCATTCAGAGTACACTAGCAAAGGTTCCTGTGTGGCCCTCTTTTCCTTCCCCAGAGGCAGACAGTTGGGTGGGCTGCTGCCCTCAGCTCTAGATGCTTCCACGCACACACGCAGGGCAGATGATCCGGATCCTTCTATGTAGCAGTTCTCTCAGTTCTTTCACTTAATCTTAGGTTGAACCTCGTATTAGTCTGCTTCTGTTGCTTATAACAAAATGCTTTGAAACTGGGTGGGTAATTTATAAAGAAAACAAAATTTATTGTTTGGAGTTTCTGAGGCTGAGAAGGCCAAAGTCCAGGGAGCACAGCTGGTGAAGGCCTTGGTGGTGGTGACAGTGATGCAGGGTATCACATCACAAAATGGTGGAGCAGACAGTAACCTCCGCTTACACTCTCCTTTTAAAGCCCTCAGAACCACGCCCCCAACCACCATTATTAATCCATTCACTACTTCATGTCCTAGAATCTAATAACCTCTCCAAGTCCCCACCTTTCAATTACCATAATAGGATTTCCCACTCTCCACAATTACAATGGGGATTAAGTTTTGGGGGTACATTCAACCCAAAGAAAACCACATAGAAACTGCCAGCGTTCAACCATTTCTGACCTACAGCAATGGCAACCTCGAATGGTCCAATCTAGTGTCCTGGAGACATTACCACATCTGCACAGGCAAGTCCGCCTCGCCCCTGTTTAACAGTCACACAGAGCCTTGACCTGCATGGCAGGCAGGCTGTTCCCAACGTCTGGCAGTCCCAATCAGCATCCCAGTCCATATGGCAAGGATTCCCATACACAGGGCTCCTGGGGCAGATGTGCTGGTAGGGCCTCCCATTTAAGCAGCCCTTTGAAGGACTCAGTCCCCCAAAAGGACAGATCACTGACTATTTAATCAACAAGCTTGTCTGGGGGCAGGACAGGGTAAGAGTGGCCAGTCAACCAATGATTCTTGTTAACTAAAGGAAGTTCTAAGTTGACCCTCAACACATTTATTATTTATTTACTCACTTACGTATGTATGTATGTACATAGGCGGCTGGCTGGCACAGGGATCAAAACACTTGACATTGGTGTTACAACACTGTGCTCTAACCAACTGAGCTGGCTGGCCAGCCCTCTCAACACCTTTAATGAGCTGATATTATCCACACCCCAGTTTTTAATCTCTTTTACGGCAACTGCTGTAGAACCCAGCACTAAGCTAACTGCTTTGATAAGAGCTATCCAGGCAGAGGCAGGTCTGGAACCAGTGACGCCATTGCCAAGGCTGTGGATAAATGTGCTCTGTGCAGTAGAAAATCAGGGCAGCTTTAGGACACACAGTTTTTTCTACATTAGAACGTAGCAGGGGATCAGTTCAGTTCCAACTCCAAGGGAAGAAACAAACGGAGGAATGGCTGTAAACCACTCCCCAGAGAGCAGACCCTGCTTCTCCTCTGCTACAGCATCAAGCGCAGGAGCTGCGAGCCTCCCACCGGCTCCAATGCCCTCCCAACTCTGCAGCGCCTCAGATAGGGCAGGGACATTTGCAACTGAAAAAACCACCACCAGCTTCTTCTCTCTTTTTTTTTCTTTAAGAAAAGGGACTCCAGCTCAGACTGCAGGGAGACTGACTACACATGCTTTTCCATTCATTACCAGCATTAATTAGAACACGGGTTCTAGCAACAAGCAAACGAAAACCTACCTACCCTTAGGAACCAAAAACTTAAAATCTTTAATGGAAACCAGGTGCATACACCTTAGGACCTGAAATGACAATTCTCTGCACATGGGAGAAGAACGTGGTTAGCACAGCCATTATACTGGTTTTTTTTTTTTTTTTTTTTTTTTTTTTTTTTGTGTGTGTGTGTGTGTGTGTGTGTGTGTGTGTGTGTGTGTGACGGGTAAGGGGATCCTAACCCTTGACTTGGTGTCGCCGCACCACGCTCAGCCAGTGAGCGCACCAGCCATCCCTATATAGAACCCGAACCCGCGGCCTCGGCGCTCCCAGTGCCACTGTGCTCCCAGCGTGGCACTCTCCCAAGTGAGCCACGGGGCCGGCCCATACTGAACAGTTTCAAAGCTGGTCCCAGGCTGGGCAGGCTGACTGGGGACTTATATAAAAACCCTCCTGGATTTCTACAATCCAGTTCATCCACTGGAATAAGGAGCCAGGACAGATACCGTCAGTGCCCTCAATCGTCACCTTCTCCCAAGCAGGCCCCACCAAGCCATCCAAAGGGACACAGGCACTGAGGGTCGGGAAGTGAGAGTCCCTTCTCTGAGGCCAACGCTCTGGGATCCAAGGTCAGCGTAGGCGGCCACGCCCACCCTGGTACCCAAATAGCTGGCTCACAGTGCGGGGGCCTCAGGTGAAGGAAGAACAGTCACAGAATGGAAACAGACCCATTTTCACTTCGGCTTAACGTGGAGAGATGCTTCTTACAACCTAATCTTCTAATCTAACTTGCAGATTTCTTGAACGGGACTTTGTGAAGTTCACATTCACTGAGCTCTTTTTCAGTGCAAGGTAACGTTCTAGTTTTAGGCACTCTGCATGTGTTGGCACAGTTAATCCCCATAGCCACCTATGGGACAGGTACTACTGTCATGCCCATGTTATAGATGGGGAAACTGAGGCTCTGAAACCGGCAGCTGATGCCAGAGGGCTCACTGTCATCACCATGAGGGACAAAGAGGCAGCTGCACGCCCCTGGCTTCCCTCACCACCACCGCAGTCATAGAATCTTTGGTATTAGACCAGAAAGAATGGATTTCTGTCCAGCTGCAGGCTGGGGATGAGGGCTCGGAGGCCTGCCGAGGGCAGGAGACACTGGGAGTCTGTGGCCTACTGGTGAGAGCCAGGGCCAGGCCTCTGGCCCAGGCTGGGTCCTTCATGGGAAGGTCACGTGATAGTGAACACTCACACTGGCAAGAGCAGCAGTTCACCAGCCCCAGATGCACCAGAACTATCTGGGAACCTTTAAATCATAACCACGGCCTGGCCCATCCCAAAGGTCTGATCTCACTGGTCTGGGTGGATCTTCTCTACATGAAAATCAGAAAACACCCCATCGCCCGTCTCAATTCCACCTAAATTCAAGAGGTTGTTTACTTGTTCATGTTCTCTTTTAGTCCCTTATACACACTTGAATGTCATCCTTACAACTTTGTGCCTGGTAGTCTAGTCCCTTCTAAGAGACAGCCCCAGTGCCCTCATGCACTACTGCCTGGTTTCAGTGACAGAGCAGGAACAGCTGCAAAGCCCCTGAGTCACAAGGATCTCCTTGTTATCCAGAAAAGTCAAACCCAAAGCTGCATGACACCCAGAACTGTCATGCCTGAGGCAGCTGCCCCACGCCTGGTCAACCTGCCCTGACATGGGCCAGTTGGAGGATCACAAGTCATCAGGTCAATGGCACCAAGGCATCTGGGCTGAGGAAAACATGCTGGAGGTTGCCCAGTGCACTTTGGAGACAGGAGGACAATTTTCCTCTCTTGAAGGACAATGGGCATCCTCCTGGGAAAACAGGCTTCGAGGCCAAAGAAGCTGAGAAAAAAGAAAATAATCACCTGGCCTCGAAATCAGGGGCTGTGTCTGTGGACAGCTAGTTGGGGTGGCTACTTGGGAGCTGAGGTACCATGGTGGTAGCAAGTATGGGAGGATGAACACAGCTCTGCAGCTAGACTCAGGGGTTCAAATTCTGCCTCTGCCACGTCCTGGCTGTGTGAACTTGGGGCAGTTGCTTAACTCCTCTGTGCCTCAAACTTCCTCATGGGTAAAATGTAGGCACTAACAGTACCCTCGTAGCGTTACAATGAGAAATAGCTGAGTTCATGCTTGTAAAATACCCAGGACAATGTTTAGGACATAGCTAGCATTGAATGGGTGCTTTCTATCGCTATTGCTAACCAGGCTCAGGTCAAGGGCTTGAGCCCCAGCCCAGCCTACATCTCCAGCTGTCGCAGTCACGACTGCAAAGGGACGACCCAGTGTGGGTGGGCGAGCCCTAGCTCAAATCCACTATGCAGACAGGCTTGCTGAGTGGTGAACAGGGCACCGAAGCGGCTGCCACCCCAACTCACCTGCAGCTGCAGGACCTGCTTCTCAAAGGCGGCTGCCTTGGTTTCCAGAGCCTTCCGCTGCTGCTCCTCCTGTCGTGCAGCCTCCGACTTCTCCACCAGCTCCTTGCTGACCTTGCTGAGCTCCTGACGGAGCTTGGCCAGCTCCGCATTCTGCCTGCAAGACAGTCATCAGCCCCTGACTGATGGACAGAAAAGGGTGATGGGGACCCGTGGTCAGAGCCTTCCCACCAGCACACCTGCTCTTTTGTAAGTAGTTGCCCGAGTCTTGGTGCCATTACCAAAGCCCCTTTTGCATTATCCATCACGTGGGGTTTGGAGTGTATTTTACTGAAGATGTTATTTTACCAGCATATGGACCAGAGAAGTAAAGAGCGAAGTGTGCACTAAGCATCCCACAGGAGCCCATTTCAGAAGCAGCTGGAAATTCAGACAGAACAAAAGGCCAGACGCTGTTCTCTTTATTGCTGCTCTGGGGGCAAACAAGCCCTGAGATACAGGCTGACTTGCTTCGGCCTTCTGCAGGGCCACAGCAGCAGCTGCGGGAGTCTACAGCCCCCTTTACTGCCTGAAGAGACCATGGCCAGGCGGGGACACTGCCCGGCACTTCAAAAGCTGGGCCTCAGGATGCAAGAGGAATGTTCTGGAGTCATAGGACACTCGACTGACAGGAAAAGTGGGGCAGCTGGAGGCCTGCCTTTCTAGCAGGAGGAGCACAACCAGTATGCTGGCTGCTTCACTAGCACAGACACCCCCTCTTCAAGGCAGGGAACTGACTATCCAGCCAAGGGACAGCACCACCAAGACGAAAGGTACAGACAAGACTGTCCACAACCCTGGGGGACAGCACCAGGCCAAGTGGAGGTGGCAAGTCTTAACTCTCTGACGCTGGTTGCCTCAGTCTACACTGGGGAAGCTGCCTCAGAGCTCTCTGCAGGGCTGTCAGCTCAAGTGCCTTATGATGCCAAGACTCAAGCGAGCTGGGATGGAGGTGGGAGCCTGGGTGGGCAGCCCCTTGGACTGACCTGGAGCTGAGCTCAGGCCTGGGAAAACCCCTGCTGTTGAGCACCCCACACTGGTCAGGGATCCCAGACTGACATGCGTCAGCAGCATCCACCTTGGGGTGACAAGTCTCCAGGCTTTAGAGCTTTCTGCAGTAAGGAGGCCACAAGAGAGTACATGAGAGGCCAGAGCGTTCCTCAGTCTCTGTGTTCACCTTCTGCTATGGCTTCTGAGGAAACGGCAGCCACAAACCTCCAACCCGCCAATGGATCAGACAGGGATGAAGATGTGTGCAGACACACCCAGAGCAAACCTGGACAGAGGGACCGGCCTGGGGGAGGTGGACCATTAGACCTCACCTCATACCAGGGGGGCCACCAGAAAAACAGACATGTGGCCCAGGCTCCCCTCCCTGTCCAGCTCCTGTGCTGGGCTCTCTCTGCCCAAGTCGCAGCCAAAGGACTAAGGGTGCCGACGCACTCCACTTCAGTTCACTCCTCCTCTTGGTGAGGGCAGATGCTCCAAAGTCACTGACAAGGACATCAGGGTGCCATTCAGCCTTACAAAGAGATCTGATTTCTAGACTGGCGTTAGCAAGACACAGCCCACCAGAACCCCAGAAAGTCCCTGCAGGGCACTTCAGGCCAGAGGGCAAAGAAATGTGTCTGGGAAGATAATGCAGCGGGCTTCTTGGGGGCCATCCTGCTGAGACTGTCACGCTTGAAACAGGGAGGCAGAAGAAAGCACAGCTGGACTTAACACCAGAGGTGCAGCACCACTGCAGGGTTGGCAACTCTCTGTGCACTCCCCAGCACGTCAGCTGCTCAGGGGAACACTGAGATGGAGAACGGTGCTAAGCAAGGTGGCCCATGCACTGTGAAACAACACTCAGTCCATGCATCAGAAGCAACGTCCCCTCCACGGCAGGAGACTGTTCCTAGTGCGGAATCAAAGCCCATAGCAGCTCCCTAACCACCAACAAACTCGCATCCGGGACAAACTGCTGGGCCTCTATACTCTGGGCCACAAGCAGGAGTTTTTAAAAACCTCTCATAACTGGGGAAAGCATCATCGCTATTCAAGGAGAGTCAGATGGCAGCACCAGCCAGGACCTGGGGGGCACCAGATCCATGCACACCAGGCATGGCAAGCGCAGGCTGCAGGCTGGAGCACGGCCACCTGTCAGAACACTCAGCTGCTCAGAACCCACACAGGAGATGGAGGGACACCGTACAGGGAGGGAGCAGAACCACACACATGGCCCTCTATGTACATGTGTATGGCCACGCACGGCTGCCATGCTGGCCATACACCCAGTAAAGAAGCCTGGGGACCCCTTGCTGGCTCCAAAGCCCCTCAGGGATGTGCTATGGCTGTGTCTGAGTGGGGACGCTCAGCTTACTTGCTCTCCACCTGGCTTGTGGCCTGGTTCAAAGCGTCCCGCAGGATGGAGTTCTCCTGCTGCAGACGGGCCAGCTGAGTGTTGGGGCCATTCTCCAGCTGCTCCTGCAGAGTCCGGATCTGAAAATTCATCGACAAGGACATCAGAGTGCTGCTCAGCCTCACAAAGAGAACTGATTTCTCAACCGGGGTCAGCAAGGACACAACCCAACAACAGAAAACCCCCAGGAGGCTCCGCCTTCCTTTATGGAAGGATCCCATAAAACAAGGGGCCTGAAAATCACACAGCTCGTGTCAGGGGCTAGAGGCCAAGTGTGACCTCCCAGTGACACGCCCCCTCTCCCCCACTGCTCATGGCCTGCCCACAACTGAGCACTTGACTCCGAGCCTCAGACACGCTCTGTGCACAGCTGCCTCTGAGGTCACACGGGTTCTGTTCTCAGATAAAGCTCGTGGTCACAGCCACAGTCTGTACCTCTCCCAAGGAAGACTCATTTCTTGCCCTCTAATCTGCCATGGCCCATCCAGAGACATGCAGCGGGGAAGAGGCCACAGCCGATGATGAAGATGAACACAACAGAGGCTCAGAAGACAGTGTCAGGCTCTGACTATGGCAGCCGGTCTAGACAGGCGGCCACCAGTGCTGGCCTCAAGCCCAGTGCTGGAGCTGTGCAATTTTCAGGCCTCTTATTTATGGGATCCTCCCAACCATGTGTGGAGAGGTGGAGCCAGCATTACTCCTGGTTCACATGGAGGCTGACAACTGGACCACAGGCACCCAGGAGAGGGGGACACAGGCTGGTTACTCACTTGAGGATAGGCTCTTGAAAATGTCTTTTATACCTTCCTGGTTGTTAACATTAGACACACACAATGAGCTGCCTGACACTGTCCAGCCCAATCCAACAGCCCCTGCCCCTCCATAATCTAACCAGACTCTGCAGACCCTCCCGCGGACATCCTCAACCCCTCCTCGCTCCCGCCCTGGCACCCCTGTTCACCATCCCCCCGGCGGCCGCTGCCCACCTTGGCCTGCAGCTGCTGTACCTCCTTCACATGCTCCTGGTAGCTGGCCTGCATGCGCGCCTGCACGGCTGCAATCTCCTGTTCCCGGGCCACGAGCTGCTTTCTCACCTTGGCCTCCCCGGCTGCTGCCTTGGCCTTTTCTGCTGCCATCTCCTGGGAGGAAAGCAGCAGAGAGAGGCTTGTGAGCTGGGTGGGGGCGGGAGCTCATCAGACGTTGCCAGAGCGGGGCTGGGAGGAGGCTGAGAGCAGAGTGCGGACCCCTCCTGCCGGCTGACTTCTCAGACAGACTCAGGGCAGTGGCAGCAGGAGCAGCAAGTGGTGGCAGGGGATCCCTGGGAAATCCTACTGGCCCTGGCCGGCTGTGGGTTCCATGTCAAGCCTTGGCCACAGTGGAGGCACTGGACACAGCAGAAAGACATGCTGTGCTGTCCCTGGGCTCTACAGGGCATTGGCTCAGCCCTCCTGTGATTACAACACCATGGCTTGGCTCAGTCACCAACATCCAGGTTTCTGGAATGCCTATTCTACTCAAGCACCTTTACTAGGACTGAGAAGGTGGCATACCTTGATGGGTGGGGTGGGGACAGGGACAGCTGCCTGTCCCACCGTGGCTAAGGGATCAGCCCCACTCCTGGAGGGCCTGGGTCTCCATGGGCAGTTGTCTGTCTTCAGGGGAACTTCTGCCCTGCTCAGTACCAGATGCCCACAGATGAACACAGGACGCCGAGTCTGGGGACCTGGTGCCTCAGGCAGGGGTAGAGCGCAGGGTGGGAAGGGCTGGCGTGGTCTCTGTCATCCCTGAGAAATGGCAATGGATGGATGCCATGTGGCAGCAGGGGTGACAACTCGAGGAAGGGGCAACATAACGTGCCCCTGGGGAGGAGTACTCCGTGCCTAGAGGCGGGCCTCTGGCCCGACCAGCACCTACTTGATGTGAAAATATACTAAGAACACAGCTGGCCTAGAAAACCAGGGTACAAGTGTCCCACGAGATTCAAGGCCCTGCCCTTTGCTTGTCCTGGGCAGTGAACCAGGAGGGGAGACATCCTCTCCCTCCCCTGCTACGGCTATAGGGCAGCCCCTCCCAAAGGCCAGACTGTCCCCTTGCCTGAGATGAGAAAGAGTCCCAGGGAGAGGGCTGAGCTGAACAGTGCCCACCAGGTGCCAGTGCTGTTCCCTCTGTGTGCCTGGCACCCCCTGGAACCACCTGGGATCCAATGGCCCCACTTTTCAAAGACAATCTTTTTGGCTCTGCCCAGCATGGTAAGTCCACAAGAACTCCACCAATTATCTCAGAAACAGGAGGGGTAGCTAACACTGTGCCCACTATAGGACAAGCATGGTCTCGCTGAACTCTCTTAGTAAGACGAGGACTGTGATCTCCATTGCAAGCTGAGGTCACTGAGCCTTGGAGAGGATACACGGTCCAAGGCTGGGGAGAAGCTCCAAGTGGCAGGGGCAGGGCCTGAACCTGGGACTATGCAAGCCCAAGAGGTTCCCAGACAGGGGGATGATGATGCTGCCCACTCCTCTGTCCCAGCTGGGGAGGCCTCAAGGCAAGCAGCAGAGGACAAGTCAGCGGTGAATCCAGGGCTCCTCTGTGCCTCCTCCTCTAACTCACGTGGCCCTGCCAGCCCACCACTGGCACACGGGTGTGATGGGGATGGCTGGAAGCCTCCACACACCAGCAAAGCAGGAAGGCTCCTCTCTTTGCTGGGTTTCCCACACAACAGTCCCTCAAAGTAGATGGCCCACCCTTGTGAAAAAGAAACCAAAGTTCAGAAAGGCCCTGGCATGCCCATGGCCATAGAGATGGCAGGCGGACAGCCACACACGGACTGTCCTCTGCCCACTTCTATTCGACATGCCAGACACCCAGGGATACCCTGCCCCAGCCCTGGGCAGGTCTCACGCATTTCTGGGAATCCACCCAGCTCAAGGCATGCAGGTCCCAATTTCCTGGGGGTCAGGGTTCCAAAGCCACCAGAATTCAATGGAACTTACCCCTTTCCTTGGCCTCTGGGCTTTTTTAAAAAAAGACAAGGCCTAGCTGAGGCTTGAACAGGAAGCAGCCTCCACCAGGAAAGCTGACAACAGGGACTCCTCCCACCCCAGGAGCACACGCTCTGAGCATCCCAGAGGCCCTCGGGCTCCCTAACTGCAACCTGATTCAGGGCCCAATCTCCTCCCAGGCCTTAAAGCTGAGTATCCCAGTCAGCACAGGATGGGTCTAGTCGGGAGCGTGGCCGTAGAAGAGACAGCTGGAAAGGCTTTCCAGAAGGTTGTGCCTTCCTGTCTACAACACTGCAGCCCTACCTGGATTCCTCACACCCACACGCTGGGCCCTGAAGACTCTCAAGGTGCCTGGACTGGTCCTTGAACCCCACTCTGCTGGGACTTCACACGTTCAGGAGATGACCCAAACAATCTCAGTGCATCCAAATCGTGCCTTCAGCATCGGATCCCAAGAAATGAAATTAAGCAAAACCTCTTTTTCAACTATAAAACTTCTCTTCAAGTACAAAGAAAATATGTGGAAGAGACTAGAACACGAAATGCAGATCCTATCGGTCTCACCAACTCCTGTGGGGACTGAGGTAAGAACTTCTACATTCTCAATCGTTTATTTTCTCAGTTTCCCTCCACGGTGTCGGGCTAGGAGATGCGACACAGCAAAGAAGTAAACACGTCAGCTCAGCTCAGGACTTCAAAAGACAGCTACTGGAACCCAATGTCCATGAATTCCAGGAGCACAGGGGGAGAAAATGGCCAAATGCATAAACTCCAAACATTTAACTATTTACAAGAGGAAGATGTAAAATGCCAACAAAGGCTTCCTCTCAGCTGTGAGCCAGCCTAGGGCCTCGGTGGCACTTGCTGGTAGCACTGTTAGGCTGGGTGAAGCACAGTGGCTAGTGTTTGCTCTCTGGGACTCACATCCAACAGGAGCCAGACAGCGACACATGATGCCTAATTATAGGTGACCTCCATGTGGAACAGGAATCTGGGGAGCTCCAGAAGGTTCCCAAGGGAGGAAGAATAAATGAGTCTCCAGGTATAAGAAGGAAATTTCTGGACAGCTAAGCAGGAAAGGGCATTTGAGACCAAGGGAAGAGTAGGAGGAGGCATAGAGGAAGCAAGAAAGGGCAGGGCACTCTGGATGGGGCGGGGTGCAGGGAGGGTTGAGGCAGGGCAGGCAGGCGAGGCAGTGCTGGGGGCGCAGACCTGGGTCTGAAGATCAGGAGCCACTGGCACTAGCACTGACAGCCCATGAGGACCTCCCTGCTGCAGGAAGGATGTGGGTTGGGGAGGGCAGGCTGTGGCTGGATGCTCTGTTGAACTTCTCGCCTCTGAGCCAAGGCCCAGCACTGGAGGGAGAGCTGGGAAATGACAATCACAGTTGTGGTCCTGAGTGGGTTAACTGCCATTGTGGTTTTGGAAGTCACACCATGTGGCCACCACTGAGGCAGAGCTTGCCTACCGAGTGACCAGCACAAGGGACTGTCTCTAAGGGGGCTCTCCCTCTCTCACACCTGCCACACTGCCCTAGTGGGGACGAGATGGGGCCACAAGCCATAGTCAGAGGTTGCAACCTACTGAGTCCTCACACTGCAAGCCCGTTCTAAGTTAAAGGGGCAGGTACAAGTCACTAACCAGGCCCATACAACCAAGCAGCTGTGCAAATGCTCACTTGAGCTTGACTTTGGGGGTGGACAAATTTTCACAGGGATTTTTCAGTTTGTTTAGAAAGGAGTGTATGGAAGAATGGTTCCCTGAAACAGTGGACTCTTAACCAGTGGTGTGCTGGTCAGCTGGCTCTTAGGAGGTGGGAGGGCTCTGATTTGTAGCATTTCCCAATCTCTGTGGTGTGAACACTTTTACGACGGCCTATGCCTAACTCCAAGTGTGCTGCTCCTGAGCGTGGTGTCAGGGAGAGACGTGCACCAAAGGCTCTCATGAGCCAGGGCAAGTGGCTCCAGCCCCTGCATTCAACCTATAACCAAGGACGGCTCCAGTGAAAGCCGTATGTGGGCACGTCTTGAAAGATAAGACAGGCCCACATGAGCTCTAGGGAAGGCCACCCGAGGCCTGTCTTTCTTTTCTCTGCTCCTGGGCATAACAATTACAAAGAAAAAACATCCCAAGGCCTATCTTCTGCTCCTGCCCGTCCCCCACCCAGCCAACGTTTCCATCTGGCTCAGAGCTCAGAGCACAGTTCACCTAAATTTGGGACAGAAAGTCAGCTGTCTCACTTCCCATTCTTCACAAACGAGCACCAGAGGTGCCCAGAGGAAGAAGGACTGCCAACAGTGCCAAGCTTGGCCCAAGACAGAGGATGCAGGTAAGCGGGGAGAGGCATGAGCAGGCCCATAGCACGGCAGGGAAAAGACAGCATGCCAACACAGTGTAACCAGCTCCGTGGAGCCAGGAGTCCCTTGCCCTGCCCCGCACCTCCTCTGGGAAGGATGGGGCACCAGGACTCACCCTTCAGAAGACAGAGGAAAGGGAGTGAACTTGGCAGGGGCAAGAGCAGCCCCCTAGGCCTCAGGTCCTGGCACACCCTCAACGATGCCCCAGCCCTACCCATCACCGACTCACTCAGAGTACAAGTCTCACCTGCCAAGCTGCCAGCTGACACTGAGGAGCCAGGCCTTTCCCTGCACAATATTCCCCACTGACGACAGAAACAGGCAGGAAAGCAGCCCCCACAGCCCATCCCCCAAGTGTGTGCTCCAATGCTCAACCTCAGGTCAGCTGTGCCCATCCTTATTCTAGGCATATGCCCCCAAGAGATGGCCCATCATCATGGGACTGGTCAGTGAAAGCCAGCTCTGGTCCACCCCATCACAAACTGAGGTCCCGTGTGGGAAAGCTGCCCACCTCAGAGCCGACCCCATGACCCTGTGATCCATGGGCAGCCCCAGCCACGGCCCCAGGGGTGGGAGCTCAGAGGACAGGGAGAGCTGCTTGCTCGGGCTGTACCTTATTGAGTTCCCTCAGTCTGCTCTTGGCAGCAGCCGCATCTTCCTGCTCTGTGGCCAGCAGCTTCTCCTTCTCTTCCAGCTGGCGTTTCAGAATCGCCACGGGGTCGCCCTTCTGAGTGGCCTGGAAATGCCCGCACAGCCACATTAACAGAAGGGCTGGACAGACACTTGGTTTGTCCCCACCCCCAGCAATCAGACAAGAGCAGAGGCCTGGGCACCTGATGAAGTGGGAGCCAGGGCTTCAAAGATGAGTGGTTCCATCCTGACTACAGACACTTCTGGGGGGACAAGCAGCCCAGCCTGCTGGAGCCTCCCAGGCCCAGTGTGTATAGGGGCTCTGGGGCCAAAAGCTTTAGATCCCAACCCCTCTGAGGGGCAGCTGACCAACACTTCCGGCTGGGAGACCACCCTGAGCCAGGCTGGAGGTCACCGGCCTGCAGTATGGGAGCTGGGGGAGAGGAGTAGGGACAATGGCCTGAGCTGAGCAGGGGCCTCTCTCTGTTGTGGTCATCCTGACCACTTCCAGCCACCCATGCCTAGGAGACCCTTCACTGCTGATAGAGGAGCTCCCAGCATGGCTGGGCCTGTGCATGATGTGTGTCACACCGAGTCACAGCCAGAAGGGGAGTGGCTTCCACTGGCCTCAAGGCAGGGACTCCCAGCCTGTCTCTCTGGACACCCCCCAAAATCTCTAACCACTGAATTCTCCAGCAAAATTACCTAGAATTCCAACTCTAGTTAAGGAACGAACATGTGCCAACCATCACTTCTTGGGGACAGCTCAGTGGCCAGAGGTACCAGAGGCTGGGAGCTAGCCTCGGACCTTGCCCCTGACAGAGGGAGGGAAATCAGAGGTACTTCTGGGCTCTCACAGGGTTCCCTCACACACATGCGTTCCTCCACCTTCCTTCCTACACCCTGAGCTCTGACCACAAACCAGCTGGGCCTCGGCTCCTGTGTTCCAACCCCAGGACACCCTGGAATGCAGAGACCTGTCCTGCACCTTATGAGCCTTCCTGTTTCAGTGGCTGGGCTGTGGCAGAAGCCAAAGCATTCGCAGGGTGATTCATGCAGCCTGACCTGGGCAGGGAAGGAGCAGGGGATGCTCTTTTATGAACATTCTCTCTGCAGCTTTGGCAGGCTAGGTGTGGCTAGCCTGCCAGGCACCTCCTGGAAGGGCTGGGGCTCCAGGTCCCACACAATCATGCAACTCCCTGAGGGGGAGGGGAGGGAAAGGCAGAACCGTGGGGCCAGCTGCAATGGCCCCTAAGCATGGCCAGTGGGAGGGCAGGCCCACCTTATGCCAGGTGTCCTGAACGACGCCAGCCTTCTCCGACAGGATCTCGATGAGTCGCTGGGCCTCGCCCTCGCTGAACACCATGCTTCCAACCGTGGAGACCAGCGTCTTGTAGGGGAGGTAGAGAGGGCTGTCGGAATCCAGGGGCGCTGTGCAGCGAGAGGGAAGGAGTGGGGCTTACACTCACACACCAAAGTCCATCACGCCCAGCCCCGGCAGAGAAGGTTAGGGCAGAGCCAGGAGAACTCTGTCTGACTCCCAGGCCAGCAGGCCAAAGGCAGCAAGCATGCTCTAGGTGTCCCTGTGCCATCCTCCTAACCCTCCCAAAGAAAGCCCCAGCCTGGGTTGGGAGTTACATCCCTCCTTTTCCATCATCGACACAACCCCAAGCAGAGCTAAAGCAAGGCATACTTTTGCTGAAGGTATTTTCCTTCCTTCTTTTTCCAGCAAATGCTTTGGTCCAGTTCTTGCCCTGCATGGCCCAACAAGGCTCTCCCACCCAGCCACGCTGAAGCCCTGTGGCCCAGCGGGCCCTGGCTGACCAGTGAATCCATCCTTCGCCACACACAGACCCCAGCAGACAAGGGAGAAGGACAGGAGGCAAGATGGGGCTGCTTCCCGCACACCCAGGCTCAAACCCTTTATCTCCAGCTCTCCCTGGTGAGGATTCAGCAGTGACAGGGCTAGGGTGAGGGAGGGTTGGGCTGGGTTCTTCCAGAACAGGCATGTCCCTTCGCCAATCCCTGAGTGACTGCCTGGAGGACACAGAGCCACCTGCCAACAACCGTCCCTTCTGAAAAACTGACCACCCCCCCACCCGCCCTGTGCACACATGGCTTCACTCTCATTGTGGCTCTCATGTAGCCTTGAAGGCAAGTAAGGATTTAATGAGATACCGTGCCTGAGATGCCTGGCCATGCCTTCTGCTGAGGCCTGCATCTGCCCCACAGCCAAAGCACACAGCCAAAAATGAGCTGAAACAAAGAAAACAGAGCTGCCTGCAGCGGCCCCTTCAGCTAAGCCCACCTCATGAGGACAACCAATGGGGAGGGTTTCCATAGCAACCCTGAATTCTCTGGCTTGTCACAATATTTTTACTTACTAGTCACAACATTTCCATTTCAAGTCAAAGCATTTAGCATGATACCTTAATAAGGGCAATGTGGGATGTGGGCGAGCTGCTTGCTATTAGCTCCTTTATTTTATAAATTCTTACAACCTGGTGCAGCTCGGGAGATTAAAATAACTGCATTGACAATGAAGGCCCAAAAGCTCATGGGTGCCACAAAAAGAGGTACTGGGGAGCATGCCCCCTCAGCATTTTTTTTCTTTGGTGGGGCAGCTGGCCGGTACAGGGATCTGAACCCTTGACCTTGGTGTTAAAACATTGTGCTCTAACCAACTGAGCTAACCAGCCAGCCTTCTCTCTTTTCATTGACACGTATATAAAATGATCTTAATGATAAACTTATGTACACTAGAGAAAATTCTTAGTCAAGTCAAAAGAAGATAAAAGCCCCTCATGAGCTCACTCTCAGGAGAAACCCCCATGCTAACATTTTGGTTTCTGGGCTTCCTGCTCCCCCTGCGCCCACTCCAGCCTGCACAGACATGTTTCTTGCCAATACTTTCCAGGAGAGGGAGACCACAGTTTCAAAGATACCACTGGAGCTACAGAGGGGGCAGGGCAACTTAACTTCTTAAGACTGTGTCCAGCTGACAGGTGCACAGACATTTCCCTTTCCTGACAGAAAGGCCTACTCCTACGCCTCCCAACACAGGGGCCACCAGCCACGTGTGGCAAGAGTACTTGAGATAAGGCTAGTGCAATACAAGATGTGTTACAACAGAAAGTGCACAAGGGAGTTCGAAGACTTGGTATGAAAAAAAATGTAAAGTATCTAATAATTTTATATATTAATTGCATATCAAAATGATAATATTTGGGATAAATTGGGCTAAATGAAATATATCATTAAGATGTTTCCCGTTTGTTTCTGGTTTGCCTTTTTGAATGTGGCTAGCTAACTAGGAACATGTGAATTACATACGCGGCTGACATGAGCAGCTCATGTTGTATTTCTCTTGGACTAGCTGGTCTGCTTTTCCAGCCCTGGGGATCCCCAAAGCGCTTCCTGCTGAAATCCTGGTAGCCCCTGTCCCTGCAAAGGCCCCAGAGTGACTGAGGGCTCTGGCCTCTCATGAACTCTCTCCTTAAAGACCACCCCTCCAGGCCTCATGGCCCCTAGTGCACCACCGGGAGGGGAGACATCTGGATAATGCAGCTGAAGGACACTTCACGACTGAATGTCATTTCCTGCACAGGCGTCACCCTGGCCAGATGCTCCCCGCACTGTCTCAGCAACCGTGTACTCTCCTTCCTGCATGCTCTGTCCACAGAATGCTTCTGAGAGTGGCATCCTAGTAAATCTTTACTGTAGCTTTCTAATATAATTACATTCCATTTTATTAGCTGTTTTAATTTTAAAAGGTAATAAAAACTTGTAACAAGTGAAACAAATCCAAAGCTATGAAGAGCAAAATTTAACTCTCCTCTGCCCATCCCCCTCCACCTGCCACGAAAAACTTCCATGGCCTTCTCCATGCTCAGACAAACACTATCTTTTAAATTATTTTTAGAGAGCCATAACATTACAGAACACTTTTCATTAAATCTTTTAGGTGAGAACCGTGCTATCTCTGTTCTCCCCAAATCAAGGGAAGTATAACCGAAAGAATAAAGAAAAGCACATAGCAGTAGGAATGAGAGCTTCTGGGCCTCTGGGTGAGTTGCATTTAAATAACATAATAACAGGAGCCTAATATGTGCACGGTACACCTCATGTCTCCAGCAAATACTGGCAGACTCCAGTAATCCCTAGTATTGTGAAAGCTAAAATAAATATGTCAAAGACTCGACAACTGTTCAACCACAGACTTCAAAAGACCAAGAGATGGTGAATTCTAGAAGAGGTCAGCTTCCTGAGGATCTGCTCCTGTAGCCAATGCTTTGCCCATTTTGGTGGGTCTGAAACACCAGGAAGGGATGGGCCAGGAGGCCTGGGGGAGGAATGAGGGAGGAGAGTGAAGCATGGAGAAGCAGGCCAGGCCACAGTGTCACTGCAATCGCACGATCCACAGCCCTGTCTGACAGGGGCCAGGCCCTACAGGGATGGGTCAGGCATTGTGACCAATGACCACATAGGCCTGGGTTTGGGGGCAGCCTCTCCTGAGCTGGGTGACCCTGAGTACGTTACTTCACTTCCAGATGATGACTCCCACAGGGTGGGCCAGAACCTTCAAAACCACGGACCTGTGCAAAAGACTGGAAATGGGATCTTTAAGTGCCATCTCCTGACCTTTAGTGCTGATAGCTAACACAATAAAAATGAAATAAATGAATAAAACCACTGTGCAGCTGAACAAACATGTCTGTCACTTCTGCCCTCAGGCAATGGGGCATCATGGTCACAGCAAGGCCTCTGGAGATGGGTGGCCTGGGCTGGGATTCCAGCTCAGCTCCTTCCTGCCTCGGACAAGTGGCTTAACCTCCCTTTGCCTCTGTTTCCTTGTCTGTGAAACGGAGGTGATAAGACTAAATTGCAACATGCTTGGAACAATCTCTGGCACAGGGTAAAGCACCGCAAAATACATCAACACGGCCAGCCTTCAAGGCCCCATCACCAGACCGTAACCCCTCCCTGAGCAGAAACAGCAAGTGCCCTTTCTCTACTCTCATCAATGGAGTGGAAAAGTCATGCGAAGGTGGCACTCAGGAGCAGCCCTTCCAAGGACAAACCCATCCAGGAAGATGGCTGGGACAGAGCACTGAAGCCTGGCAACCCTCTTGCTCCTGCTCGCGCCATTGCCCTCACTCAAGATGCTAAAGGGGCAGCTCTTTCCATCGGAGAGGGGCCCCCTGCCTCCCAGAACACAAGCCAAGCAGCACACAGTGGCTCAGATAACATGCGAAACGCTCCAAATTTCAAAAGTGTGTTCCCTTTTGCACCCTCACTGGAAAGCTTAATCATCTAAAATTAAACCTGTCTCACAAAGAGGCATTTAGGAGTCCCTTTCTTGACACTATCAACTGTGGGGTCCTGTGGGGAGACTTTTCTCTATGCCTGCATAATCACCAGCATCCCCAGTGGCCAGGTCTCAGCCATAATGGGACTCACAGGACTCAGCAGCTGCCCCTCCAGTGTCCATCTAGTGAAATGCTCCCATGCTGCTCATGCCTGGCTTTCTCGACCAACAGGGAGGGTGTCAGAACTGTTCCAGGAACTGCCTCCCGGGCGCCTGCAACAGCTGCTGGTTAGCGTGAGGAGATTATCGCCTCAGCCCAGGGATGGGCTGTCAAAGGCTCTAGCTCAATTCCAGCTGTCGCTGCAGGTGCCAAAAGCTATGCCCAGGGCCGGCAGGTCCAGGTGGTTTCCAGACACAAAGTATGTACCCACTGTGTACCCAGCAGTCTGCAAAATGCTGGACCTGGAAAGTGAGAGGTGGGACTGCAACTGAGAGAGGCAGATGACACGTGACAATCATGTAAGAGAGACCCACAGGGAACCTGGAAGAAACTACAGCAGCGACTCTGTAAACAGCATAGAGCAGGGGTGAAGCCAAGCACCACTGGACAGAAGGCAGTGAGGTGCTTCGGGAAGGAGAACAGCACAGAAAAGGCAGCGGGGCTTGCGGGGCCTCACTAATCGGATTTGCAGAGGGAGTGGAGGGAGGCGAGGCTAGAGCGGGTCCAAGTCCTTACAGGCCCCAGGAATCCAGATTTTGTCCTCTAGGCAAAGAGCAACGCCTACAAGGGAGCAGGGTTTGCATTTGGGAAAATGATTTCAGGATGCCCAGAGGGACAAGGCTAGAGACAGGCCCAGGTAAGAGCCCAGGACCAGGGTCTAGACCCAAGTATTTAGGATGCTGAGCTGATGGGAGAGGCCCAGGGGTCAACCCGGGTACTCTCTAGCAGTGGAAGCAGATACAAGGCATGCTCTTGGCGTTGGGGGTAGAACTCCAATGGCAAAGACACTCTTTTTCTTTGGGAATGTCCGGACCAATTCTGAAGGCCTCTGTCTCAGACACAGACACAGGCTGAATAGCTGCTGCCTTTGGGCCTCGCACAGGGGCCACCCTGGACAGTGCA